GAAAACACTATGCTAAGTGAACGAAGCCAGATGCTAAAGGACAAATGTTATATGTCTCCATTCATATGGTGTCCAGGCTGGGCACAGTGCCTCACGCCTGTAATCCCAGCCCTTTGGGAGGCCGAGTTGGGAGGATCACAAGGTCAGGAGATTGAGACCATCTTGGCTAACACGGTGAAAGCTCATCTCTACTAAAAATACAAAAAATTAGCTGGGAGTGGTGGTACGCACCTGTAGTCCCAGCTACTTGGAGGCTGAGGCAAGAAAATCGCTTGAACCCGGGACGCAGAGGTTGCAGTGAGCTGAGATCATGCCATTGCACTCCAGCCTGGGTGACAGAGCAAGACTCCATCTCAAAAAAAAAAAAAAGAAGGAAAGAAGAAAGAAAGAAATGTCCAGAACAGGGAAATCTATTGATTTGGAAAGTAAATGAGTGATTACTTAGGGCTGGGGGAGGGGAGGCTAGGGAGTGAAAGCTAAATGGTGCAAGGTTTCCCTGAGAAGTGATGAAAATAGGCCGGGCGCAGTGGCTCACGCCTGCAATCCTAGCACTTTGGGAGGCCAAGGTGGGTGGATCACCTGAGGTCAGGAGTTCAAGAAGAGATGAAAATATTCAAAAATGTGTTGTAATGCTAGTTGTCCAACTCTGTGACTATACTAAAAACCATTGAATTGTATACTTTAAATGGGTAAATTGTATGGTATTTGAATTATATCTCAATAAAGCTGGTTTTTTGTTGTTGTTGTTGGAGACAGGGTCTCACTCTGTTGCCCAGGCTGGAGTGCAATGGTGCAGTCTCAACTCTCACCACAGCCTCAACTTCTTGGGCTCAGGTGATCCTCCCACCTCAGCCTCCTGAATACCTAGGACCGTAGGCACACCACTGCATCTAGCTAAGTTTTCTATTTTTTGTAGAGATGGGATTTCACCATGTTGCCCATGCTGGTCTCAAACTTCTGGGCTCAAGTGATCCATCCAGCTCAGCCTCCCGAAGTGCTGGGATTACAGGTGTGAGCCATCACACATGGCCAAAGCTGATTTTTTTTGTCTCCTCCACTTCCTATTATATGATCTTAGGCATGTCCCTTAATCTCTCTGAGCCTCAGATTTCTCATGTATAAAATGGAGATAATAGTAACTTAAAAATTAAAACAAAAATTTCCTAGGAGGGGTTTTGTGCAGGATAAATGTGGGCCTTTCCCGCCTCCCAGATGACTTGGCAACATGGTTATGGGCAGATTGGGATGGGGTGTGGTCACTGGGCTCCTCCCTTGAAAGTAGTCAAAACTCTTGTAAGGCCAGGCACGGTGGCTCACACCTATAATCTCAGCAATTTGAGAGGCTGAGGTGGTCGAATCACTTGAGGTCAAGAGTTCGAGACCAGTCTGACCAACATGGTGAACTCTCTCTACAAAAAATACGAAAATTAGCCAGGTGTGGTGGCACACACCTGTAATCCCAGCTACTTGGGTGGCTGAGGCAGGAGAATCATTTAAACCCGGGAGGGGAAGGTTGCAGTGACCTAAGATGGCACCACTCCATCTCAAAACAAAACAAAACAAAGAATTCTTGTAAATTCCCATAAAAATATAGAATTGTTTTTGCCTGATATTATTCATTAGATCAGGAAACTTCAGGAGCCATTCCTGGATCTTAAAGATTCCCCTGAGAAATCTCTAAAACCTGCCCACACTTCCATGCTTCTGAGGCAATGTGCTCTATCCTCAGGTTCCTGGGGGCCCCAAGGTAGGGGCACAACTGGGGAGGCTAGAATGTAGGCACCCAGCTCCTCCTCTCAGGAACTGGACTGAAGATGCCAGAAGGTGAGGACCTCAACTTTCTCTTTCTAGTCCAGTGAGGGGTATGCTACACATAATAGAAGGTCACTCCAGAGACAGAGCCTGCAGAAATGCCTGGAAATCGCTGGCACCAGACACTGCCCATGTCCAGTCTGTGCCGCCGGAGGATCCCTGTGCATCTTCTCCAGACGGCCCCTGCTTGGACCAGCTCATTGCTCCTGGGGTCGCTTCCCCACAGTCCTCAGGCCAAGCAGGAGAATGAGGCGCACCTGAGCTCTTTACTGGAGCATCCAAATTTGATGGGGAAAGGAGAAACCAAAAAATGAGAATTCTTTTTTTTTTTTTTTTTTTTTTTTTTTAGACAGAGTTTCACTCTGTTGCCCAGGCTGGAGAGCAGTGGCGTGATCTCGGCTCACCGCAACCTCTGCCTCCCAGGTTCAAGCCATTCTCCTGCCTCAGCCTCCCGAGTAGCTGGGATTACAGGTGCCTGCCACCATGCCCGGCTAATTTTGTATTTTTTTAGTAGAGATGAGGTTTCTCCATGCTGATCAGGCTGGTCTTGAACTCCCGATCTCAGGTGATCTGCCCATCTCCACCTCTCAAAGGCAAAAGAGGAAAATTCTGCCTGGCATGGTGGTGGGTGCCTATAATCCCAGGTACTTGGGAGGCTGAGGTGGGATAGTTCTTGAAACCAGGGGTTCAAGACCAGCCTGAGCAACAGAGTGAGACCCATCTCTTTTTTTTTTTTTAAGAGAATTTTTTTTTCTTTTTCTTTTTCCAAACAGACTTTTGCTCTTGTTGCCCAGGCTGGAGTGCAGTGGTGCCATCTCAGCTCACTGCAACCTCTGCCTCCCAGGCTCAAGTGATTCTCCTGCCTCAGCTTCCCAAGCAGCTGGGATTACAGGTATGTGCCACCACACCCAGCTAATTTTGTATTTTTAGTAGAGATGAGGTTTCTCCATGTTGATCAGGCTGGTCTAGAACTCCCGATCTCAGGTGATCCACCAGCCCCATCTTACCAAAATGCTGGAATTACAGGCGTGAGCCACTGCAGCCGCCTTTTTTTTTTTTTTGAGACAGAGTTTCGCTCTTGTTACCCAGGCTGGAGTGCAATGGCGCGATCTCGGCTCATTGCAACCTACGCCTCCTTGGTTCAGGCAATTCTCCTGCCTCAGCCTCCTGAGTAGCTAGGATTACAGGCATGCACCACCATGCCCAGCTAATTTTTTGTATTTTTAGTAGAGACGGGGTTTCACCATGCTGACCAGGATGGTCTCGATCTCTTGACCTTGTGATCCACCTGCCTCGGCCTCCCAAAGTGCTGGAATTACAGGCGTGAGCCACCGCGCCCGGCCTTTTTTTTTTAAGGCAGGGTCTCGCCTTGTCTTCCAGGCTAGAATGCAGTGGCGCAATCTTGGCTCACTGCAGCCTTGACCTCCCAGGCTCAAATGATTCTCCCACCTCATCCTCCCAAGTAGCAGGGATCATAGGTGCATGCCACTGTGCCCTAGCTAATGTTTTTTTCTTTTTGAGTCAATGGAGTTAGGGAAATTTCCCACCACCAAGTTGGTATAGGGCATTGAAGGACTTTTGATTCAGCTAAATATTTGCCTGAAATTTTGGATCCATTGACCATTGTGAGTGGAGTGACCTAGATAATTCCTTCACCCTGATACAAAGGGGATTTGTAGTTACCGAGAGATTTGTATATGTCTGTCCAAGAACTGACTCTATGGAGGAGACAATCAAGGGAAATGACAGAGGAGAAGATGAAAAGCCCCTTCTCATCTGCTCACAGAGGCTGGTTCTCATCAGCCTCTCCCATTCCCAGAAATTCCGCTCGTCCCCCTGGCTTCATGCCCTCCTCAGGAGATTTGTGTAAATCATGCCACCTTGTGCTGCCCCTGCAGACCTGTCACCTGGGAAGGGCACAGCCCTTTACAATCCTCTCCTGACTGGGATTTGCAGCAGTAATCTCCATCCACAAGAAAATAAAATCCCAAGAAGTGACCTTCATTCGGACGTCCCTTCCATCTGCAGGGCAGCTAAGCTAGCCATGCGGGCTTCACTAATGTTGTTTTGGGCTTCAGAACGTCCTGCTGCTGGTGCTGAAGCCCTGGGTTCAGGTTCCCTTTAAACTTTCCAGCCTTACTCGGAGGAAACAAAAAAATCCTTAGGAACAACTGAACCCCTAACCTCAGCCCGAGTAGGGTGGAGTCGGACAGAAAGGAGAGGTAAGGGAGAGCAGCTGGCTCAAGGCCGGATGCCCTTTCCCTGAAAAGTCACTCAAGCCCCAGGTTGGTGGGTGTGTTGGGAAGAGCAGCCCGCTGGAGCCAGCACACAGGCCGTTACCTCCAACACAGAAGTCAAGAGTCTCTCTTTCTCTCTCTCACCAGCATCTCTCTCAGCCCATCAGAGCATTTTTACTTTTACATACACCAAGAATACTTTAGAAAGGCTTTATCATGTTGCACTATCGTGACTAATTACGTAAACACTAGCAGGCATTTAATGAGCGCCTGCTCTATGCCAGGTGCCAGCCAGAGCTAGGAGGTGACTTCCACGATTACCAATTCTGTGCCAGTGCCTTCATTTAAAAGATGGGCAAGCCCAAGCCCAGCCTGGCTAGTAACCTGCCCAAGGTCACAGAGCCCAAACTTCAGCCTAGATCTCCTGACTTCCCCTTCCTCTGCTCTTTCCGATATATCCAGACAAAACATCTTGGGAATGGATGCTCAGGGTTGAGAGGTTGGAGAACAAGGGAACTAACTGAGAAATTTAAACATCCAAGACTGAATCTATCTGCTTTGAATGAATGAGATAAACAGCCAAATAATTCCTCAGCATTTGTGATCTATGAATGACCCCCATCCCTCTGTATAAAGCAGACACACATTCCTGCCTTGCTCTTCCTCCCAAGGGGCTCCTATCCAAGCAGCTTATATAAATTGACACCTTCCTCCCACTTTGGCCAACATTAGGTTGAACCATATGAAGCTGCCATTTTTTATGGGTCAAAGAGGCAGAGTATTAGCAATTGCATGTGGTTCAACCTGATGCACCCTCACATATAGTCATAAGTTGTGCACTCAATGGAGAGGAAAAGGCACTGGGTGCAGGGAGGGGGGCTGGTCAGGGGCCTGAGCCTTAGTGTCCCCGCTATATGAATAGCTCTGTCCCCAGGACAGGAAGCCACTCACTCTTTGACTTCTTTGGAGGAAAAGTCCAGGTAGCGGTTGCTGATCCACTGAATCTCAAACCAGTCCCGAAAGCCGTTGTTGCCGCAACATTTGAATTCAATCTGCAACATGTCGATGGTCTTCTTCATGAAACACCGGCCAGGGGTGTCCGTGTCCCTGTAGTACTTCATGCCGTTCTTGAGCCCTTGGCTCAGCGTGTTCTCCAGTGAGCCCCGCAGCAGAAAGCAGCAGAGAGCCACGAGGAAGAGGACGATGTTGAAGAGGACACAGATAGCCAGGTACGGCTTCAGCCAGGGCTTCCACCTGGCATACTTGGCCGGGTCCAGAGCGTCGTAGCAGATCTTCCCAGCCAGAGAGTTGAAGACACAGGATAGCACCCCCATCCCTATCAATGAGTTGGGCACAAAATGGCTCTCAGAATTATTCATCACATCGCTCCTCTTCCGGAGTTCAATCTTCAGGAACAGTCCTAGGCTGAAGATGATGATGCCAGCCAACACGGAGAACCAGTTCATGAGCCAGAGCCCCTGGGCTAACTTGACCCGCTTCTTCTGGTCAAACTTGACTTTCAGTAGCGCCATGCTTGCCGAGTGTGGCCCAGGTCGCTTCCCACTGCACAGCTCCCACCCCAAACTTTAATGAGCACAGAGCTGGATGACTTAGGGCCTTGGGAAAAGTGCAGATGGCCCAAGCTGTAGGGAGGTGCCCTGGAGGCTGCCCATGTCGAGCCCCCCTAGCCTGGGATCCCCGTGAATGCAGTCGTGGTGGCAGGGGTCTCGGAATCACAGCTTGAGCAGGGGATAGTCCTGGTCCTGGGCGTTGTTCCTTCAGCGCCCTTCCCAGCCAAGAAGGGGCAGCCTGAACGCTGCAGATTAAAAGTGGGATCCACAAGACGTTTTGCTAATCTCTTTAGCCAGGTTCATCCCATTAGATAAAGCCATGCCACTCTCAAAACATGGTCAAAAGCAGCCTGCAGGTACATGCTGGACCAAAGAGCTCTGGGTACAGCTTGAAGAATCATGAGCCAAGGGTAAGACTGGCCAGAAGAACGGGCTGTTTCTGGATGTCTGGCTCAGACCATGTTGCTCCCCAAAAGCACATTTCCAGGCCAATCTCCTTCAAAATTTAAAACTTTCTCTAGGACAAATAAATTGTTATACTCTTTGAAAAAAGAAATGTGCTGGGCACAGTGGCTCATGCCTATAATCCCAGCGCTTTGGGAAGTCGAGGTGGGTGGATCACCTGAGGTCAGGAGTTTGAGATCGGCCTCACCAACGTGGTGAAACCCTTTCTCTGCTAAAAATACAAAATTAGCTGGGCGTGCTGATGCATGCCCGTAATTTCGAGGCTGAGGCAGGAGAATCGCTTGAACTCGGGAGGCAGAGGTTGCAGTGAGCCAAGATAACGCCATTGCACTCCAGCCTGGACAACAAGAGTGAAACTCTGTCAAGGAAGGAAGGAAAGCAGGAAGGAAGGAAGGAAGGAAGGGAGGGAGGGAGGGAGGGAGAAAAGGAAAGGAAAGGAAAGACAGGGTCTGGCACAGTGACTCATGCCTATAATCCCAGCACTCTGGAAGGCCAGGTTGGGTGGATTGTTTGAGCCCAGGAGTTCAAGACCAGCCTGGACTACATAGGAAGACACTGTCTCTACAAAAAAAAAAAAAAAACACACACACACACACACATACAAATTAGCTGGGCATGGTAACACGTACCTGTACTTCTCCTAGCTACTCTGGAGACTGAGGCAGCAAGATCATCTGAGCCTGGGGAGGTCAAGCTGCAATGAGCCATGATCACGCCACTGCACTCCAGCCTGGGTGACAAAGTGAGCCCCATCTCAAATTAAAAAAAAAAGAAAAAGAAAAAGTAGAAGAAAGAAAGAGAAGGAAGAAAAGAAAGAAAATGACAGCTCGTGAGAAAACACTTGCAACTTGTAAAGTGAAAAGGTAATATACAGTGGCCAGGCATGGTGGCTCATGCCTGTAATCCCAGTACGTTTGGAGGCCAAGGTAGGTGGATTGCTTAAGCCCCAGAGGTGGAGGTTGCAATGAACTGAGATCACCCCACGACACTCCAGCCCGGCCGACAATGAGACTCTGCCTTTAAAAAAAAAAAAAAGAAAAGAAAGAATATGCAAAAATGTTTTAAGTCCCACAAATTCACAATAAAAAATTTCACAATCAAAAGACCAACAATCATGTGGGAAAACAGGCAAAAACCAGGAACAGGCAATTCATAATAAGGAAGCTTGGAAAGTCTGATAATCTGGAAAAGATCTCAACTTGAGTAATAAGCAGGAAAATGCAAATCAAAACAACAATAGAAGACCAAACCTGGCCGGGTACTGGGGCTCACACCTGTAATCCCAGCACTTTGGGAGGCCAGGCGGGTGGATCATGAGATCAGGAGTTCAAGACCGGCCTGACCAACATAGAGAAACCCTGTCTCTATTAAAAATACAAAAATTAGCTGGGCATGACAGTGCATGCCTGTAATCCCAGCTACTCAGGAGGCTGAGTCAGGAGAACTGCTTGAACCTGGGAGGCAGAGGTTGCAGTAAGCTAAGATCACGCCATTGCACTCCAGCCTGGGCGACAGAGCAGACTCTGTCTAAACAAAACAAAACAAAACAAAATCAAGGCCATATTTGGGGCTCATGCCTGTAATCCCAGCACTTTGGGAGTCCAAAGTGGGCAGATCACCTGAGGTTGGGAGCTCAAGACAAGCCTGGCCAACATGGTAAAACCCCATCTCTACTAAAAATAAAAAAAAAAAGAAATAGCTGGGCATGGTGGCAGGCGCCTATAATCCCAGCTACAGTCCCAGAGGCTGGCTGAGGCAGAAGAATCACTTGAACCCAGGAGGCAGAAGTTGCACTGAGCTGAGATCACACCACTGCACCCCAGCCTGGGTGACAGAGCAAGACTCCATCTCAAAAAAAAATGCCAAAAAGGGGTTCATGATTAGAATATGAGGCCTGGGAGCTCGCGGTGGCAAGTGGGTCAGATCTGTAATCCAGAATCTCCTTTCTTCCCTCATGGGCACGGATTCCACTACACTAGACTCACTATCCACACAACTCCTCTTCGAGTTCTCCAAATCACTATGTAAATCAGAAGAGTATACTCCACAGGCAGAGGAGGTGTGAGAAGCAATGAGACATGAATTTTTCCATCCAACAGTCACCTTGGAAAACAAAGCACTTATTCCATTGCTCAGCTCAAATCTGGACTTCATTTGGGAGTGACCTCCAAAGCTAGGTCCTGAGCCATATGAGGAAACAGTCTTGTTATACTATTGACACACAGCATTTTGGGTCAAAACCAATATTACCCAAAGTGATCACTCTTCTAACAGCCAGCGTTGGCTTCTAATAGTTTTGGATTATCAAAGGATTTCAACTCTTTACCATCAAGGACATTGAAAAGAATTGCTGTCGTTTCTGAAGTTGTTTCATTTGGTTTTGCCTTTTCCAAAAGAGGATGTTCAGATAACAAGAGGACTCCTAACTCCTACGCAAAAAAAAAGAAAAAAGAAAAAAATCGGAAGTCGATTGTTCTGCAGGAAATAGGATGTAGATGACTGTGAGGCTATCACAGAGAGCCTCTTAGAAGCAAGTGCAGACAAGAGAAAACCAGAGGGAAGAAGAGGAAGAAAGATTTAATGTAGAAACCAGAAACAAAAATTTAAAAATAGCTCTACAAGGATAACCCGATTAGTCAGGCACCTCTTTCTCCTCAAATGACCCGGGGGTTGTCTATACGACGAGGGTGGTGCTGAGCCCACAGCAAGTCTGCGGATGCCCCCTGGTGGCCAGAAGTAGAATGCCTCCAATGGATGGAAGGTGCTCGCATCCCCAGCACATTAAATTACCCAGAAAGGTAAGAGAGAAATAACAGACATGTCAGAAATGTCCCTGGCCAAACCTTTCAAGTTCGAATCAAGGCAAGATATGGCAAGGAACAAGCAGAGAAAAGTGGACTGCAAAGAAAGCAGTAAATTAATCTTCCAGAGAATGGAGGGCTCCTTCCTCCTTCCGGACCAATGGATGTGAGTCCAGACGCGAGACATCCATTATAAAGATAATCGAAGAGGTTAGCAGAACTAAGGATGGTTCACTTTTCTTCTTTAGAAATGCCATTCACGTCTACGGCCATACCGCACTGAACGCACCGGATCTCGGAAGCAAAGCAGGGTAGGGCCTGGTTAGTACTTGGATGGGAGAAATGTCATTCATGCTGATCACCTTCGCGCCCCGCCCGTCCTCGCGCCCGGCTCGCCTCGGCCCGCAGAGCTCGTCCCCTCCCCACCTTCCGACGTGTCGGACTGCAAGAACGGCCCCGAGTATGCTTCGTTGTTCGCCATCTCGGGCGCCTCGGCCGCCATGGTCTTCATAAGCGCCCTGGGCGCTGCCTATGACACGGCCAAGGGCGGCACCGGCATCGCGGCCATGTGCGTCCTGCGGCTGGAGCTGATCCTGAAGCCCCTCATTCCAGTGGTCGCGGCTGGCAGCGTCGCCATCTACGGCCTGGTGGTGACAGTCATCGCCAACTCCCTGAATGACGACGCCAGCCTCTACAGGAGCTTCCTCCCGCCGGGCGCCGACCGGAGCCCGGGCTGGAGCAGCGGCTTTGCTATCCGCATCGTGGGGGGCACCGCCCGGCAGCCCCGACACTTCGGGGGCGTGATCCCTATCCTCATCTTCGCCGAGGAGCTCGGCCTCTACGACCTCATCGTCGCCTTCCTCCTCTGCAGAGTAGCCCCTCTCGGAGACCACCCTTCCTAATTCCAGAAGGAACAGCCTGACACACCCGCGCGGGGCCGCCGCCGCCCGTAGCTGGCCTTGTACAGTCGCAGCGTCCTGGCGCCCATGTCTGTTGCCCCGGCCGTGTCCCCGCCGCCCCGTGTCGTAGACTTCTGGGCCCACTTGTGGCCCCTCCAGGCCCCGGGCACCTCACCCCCTAGAGTGCTCTGTGTATGCAGATGATTTAGAGTTGTCATTTCTCTTCACTGGAAGTTTATTTATAAAGATCTGGCCTGTTCCCGCGTCTGCGGAGCGGCCCTTGTCTCCTAGCTATCTATAACCTCAGCCAGAGTGTCGCCTTGTGGGTTCCTGCTGCTGAGGCTTCCTAGATGGAGCCATCCTCGCTGCCGGGCCCTTGGCCCTGCTCCAAGCTGTGTCTGATAACGTTCTCAGATGTGAAAGAAAAGACAAAACATACCGTTAACGCTATTATAATAACAAAATTATATCGTTTTTCTTGGCCAGGCATGGTGGCCTACTCCTGTAATCTCAGCACTTCGGGAGGCTGAGGAGGGCGGATAGCATGAGGTCAGGAGTCCGAGACCAGCCCGGCCAACATGGTGAAACCTCGTCTCTACAAAAAATACAAAAATTAGCCAGTATGGTGGCAGGTGCCTGTAATCCCAGCTATTCGGGAAACTGAAGCACAAGAATTGCTTGAATCTGAGAGGTGGAGGTTGCAGTGGGCTGATGTCACGCCACTGCACCCCAGCCTGGAACACCGACTAGTCTCTCTGTCAAAAAAAAAAAAAAAAAAGTAGAAGAAAATAAGAAAGAGAGAAAGAAGACAAAAAGAAAGGAAGGGCCGTGGGCGATTGCTCACACCTGTAATCCCAGCACTTTGAGAGGCTGAGGCGGGCGGATCACCTGAGGTCAGGAGTTTGAGACCAACCTGGCCAACATGGTGAAACCCCATCTCTATTAAAAATACAAAAAAAAATTGGGCTTAGTGGCGCAGGCCTGTAGTCCAAGCTACTCGGGAGGCTGAGGCAGAATTGCTTGAATCCGGGAGGAGGAGGTTGCAGTGAGCCAAGATTGCGTCACTGCACTACAGCCTGAGTGTGAGACTCCGCCTCAAAAAAAAAAAAAAAAGAAAAGGAAAGGAAAAAAACAGAGGGCCGGGCGCGATGGCCCTGTAATCCCAACACTTTGGGAGGCCAAGGCGGGTGGGTCACCAGGTCAGGAGATCCAGATCATCCTGGCCAACATGGTGAAACCCTGTCTCTACTAAAAATACAAAAATTAGCCAGGCGTGGTGGCATGTGCCAGTGGTCCCAGCTACTCAGGAGGCTGAGGCGGAAGAGCTTGAGCCTAGAAGGCGGAGGTTGCAGTGAGTGGAGATTGGACCACTGCACTCCAGCCTGGCGACAAAGCAAAACTCCGTCTCAAAAAACAAAAAATGGCTGGGTGTGGTGGCGCACACCTGTAGTCCAAGCTACTCAGGAGGCTGAGAAAGGAGAATTGCTTGAATCCGGGAGGCAGAGATTGCAGTAAGCTGAGATCGCATCACTGCACTACAGCCTGGGTGACAGTGCGAGACTCCGTCTCAAAAAAAAAAAAAAAAAAAAGAAAGAGAGAGAGAGAAAGAAAGAAAGGCAGGTACAGTGGCTCACACCTGTAATCCCAGCACTTTGGGAGGCCGAGGTGGGCAGATCACCTGAGGTCAGGAGTTCGAGGCCAGCCTGGCCAACATGCTGAAACCCTGTTTCTACTAAAAATACAAAAAAATTAGCCAGGCATGGTGGCACATTCCTGTAGTCCCAGCTACTCGGGAGGCTGAGACAGGAGAACTCAGGAAGCAGAGACTGCAGTGAGCTGAAATCTTGCCACTGCACTCTGGCTTGGGGTGACAGAGCAAGACTCTGTCTCTGAAAAAAAAAAAGAAGAAGAAGGAAGAAAAGAAAGAAAAAGGGAAGGAGAGAGGGAGGGAGGGAAGGAAGAAGGAAGGGAGGGAGGGAGAAAGGAAGGAAGGGAGGGAGGGAGAAAGGAAGGAAGGGAGGGAGGGAAGAAGGAAGGAAGGGAGGGAGGGAGGAAGGAAGGGAAGGAGGGAGGGAGGGAGTGGGGCCAAGTGCAGTGGCTCACACCTGTAATCCCAGCACTTTGAGAGGCCAAGGTCTGGGTCACTTGAGCTTGGGAGCTTGAGACCAGCCTGGGCAACATGACAAAACCCCATCTCTGCAAAAAATACAAAAATTAGATAGGCATAGTGGCGAATACCTGTAGCCTAGCTACTCGGGAGGCTGAGGTGGGAGGATCACTTGAGCCTGGGAGGTGGAGGTTGCAGTTAGCTGAGACTTTGCCACTACACACCAGCCTGAGTTACAGAGCAAGACCCTGTCTCAAAATAAAAATAAAAGGAAAAGAAGAGACCAGAACTTTCCCCAAGCTAGTACTGAGGAAAGGCCATGTGAGGACACAGTGAGAAGACCCATCTGCAAGCCAGGGAGCAAGGCCTTACCAGAAACCAACACTGCTGGCACCGTGATCTTGGACTTCTAGTCTCCAGAACTGTGGGAAAATAAATGCCTGTTGTTCAAGCTGCCCAGTCCATGGTATTTTGTCATAGCAGCCAGAGCTGACTAATGCACTCTCCCTGCCACTCAAGAGGTAACCATTAATCTGAACACCTGAGCTTTTTCTTTTTCATATAAAAATCATCAAATGCTTCCCTACAAATTTTTGCTTGTTTTTGACATTTACGACAATTGTATAATACTGTATAGATAGTCTTCAGGGATCTGCTTTGCTTTCAGTCAACATGTTTTAAGAGACACACATGTCGTTGTATGTAGCTATAGGTCATTGTTACCTATAGAACATGTCACATAGTATACATTCTTCTGTCGGAGATATATGGGTGATTTCTAGAGTTTCACTTTCATGCATAAAGCTCTTTGAACATTTGTGGCTGGGTGCAGTGGCTTACAACTGTAATCGCAGCAATTTCAGAGGCCAAGGTAGGATCATTTGAGCCCAGGAGTTCAAGACCAGCCTGGCCAACATGGTGAAACCCTGTCTCTACCAAAAATACAAAAATTAGCCACGCATGGTGGTGTGCACCTGTGGTCACAGCTACTCAGGACTGAAGTGGGAGGATCACTTGAGCCAGGGAGATTGAGGCTGCTGTAAGCAGTAATGGAGCCGCTGCACTCAAATACACTGCAGTCTGGATGAGAGTGAGACCTCGTCTTACACACACACACACACACACACACACACACACATACACACATGTGGATATCTTCCACTGTGCAGAAGTTTCTCTAGGGTATAACCCTAAGGAGTTTGAGACCAGTCTGAGCAACATAGAGAGACACTGTTTCTTTTCTTTCCTTTTTTTTTTTTGGTTTAGAGTCTCACTCTGTTGCCAACTGCAGTGCAGTGGCACAATCTCGGCTCACAGCAACCTCTGCCTCCTGGGTTCAAGTGATTCTCCTTCCTCAGCCTCCTGGGTAGCTGTGCCAGGCTAATTCTTGTATTTTTAATAGAGATGGGGTTTCACCATGTTGGTCAGGCTGGTCTTGAACTCCTGACCTCATGATTTGCCTACCTCGGCCTCTCAAAGTGCTGGGATTATAGATGTGAGCCACCACATCCAGCGTGAGATCCTGTTTCTATAGAAACAAAATAAAGGCAGACACGGTGGCTCACATCTGTAATCCCAGCACTTTGGGAGGCTAAGATGGGCGGATAACCTGAGGTCTGGAGTTCAAGACCAGCCTGACCAACATAGAGAAACCTTATCTCTACTAAAAATACAAAAAATTAGCCAGGCATGGTGGCGCATGCCTGTAATCCCAGCTACTCTGGAGGCCAAGGCAGGAGAATCGCTTGAACCTGGGAGGCAGAGGTGGTGGTGAGCTGAGACTGCTTCATGACACTCCAGCCTGGGCAACAAGAGTGAAATTCCATCTCAGATAAATAAATAAAAATATAAGCAAATTAAAAATATAAATATTTTAAAAGTTGCATTATAGTGAGAGAACATAACACATACAATGCCAAACCTAGAAAAAAAGCTTCAAGATTTCCTCTGTGACTTAGTTTGTGGCCTGTTGTCCCATGGTCAATACTCCACATGTGTTTGAGAAAAAATAAAGGGTGTCTTATGTAATAATTGGGTGCAACGCTCTTTAAACAAACAAAACAAAAAAAGAAACAGAGTCTCCCTGGAGTGTGCAGTGGCATGATCTCAGCTCACCCCCGGGTTCAAGCCATTCTCCTGAGTAGCTGGGATTACAGGCACCTGCCACCATGCCCAGCTATTTTTTGTATTTTTAGTAGAGACGGGGTTTCACCATGTTGGCTAGGCTGGTCTCGAACTGACCTCAGGTGATCCGCCCACCTCAGCCTCCGGAAGTACTGGGATTATAGGCATGAGCCATTGCACCTGGCCAGTGCTCTTTTTAAAATGTGTCGCTATGTTTTATAAATTTTTGTTGTTGTTTTCTTTTTTTTCTTCTGTTGTTGTTTTTAATACATATTTGACAGAGTTTGCCTCTTGTCACCCAGGCTGGAGTGCAGTGGTGCTATCTTGGCTCACTGCAACCTCCACTTCCCAGGTTCAAGCGATTCTCTTGCCTCGGCCTCCCAAGTAACTGAGATCACAGGCATGGGGCACTACACCCCACTAATTTTTGTATTTTTAGTAGAGACAGGGTTTTGCCATGTTAGCCAGGATGGTCTGGATCGCCTGATCTCATGATCCACCCGCCTCGAACTCCATGTTGGCCAGGCTGGTCTCGAACACCTGACCTTGTGATCTGCCTGCCTCTGTCTCCCAAAGTGCTGAGATTACAGGCATGAGCCACCGTGCCTGGACTTTTTTGGTTATTTTTAAAAGATATTTTTATTTCTCCAAATTTGTTATTTATCAGGAGTGGCTGAAATAAAAAATATAATTGAGTTCCATCATCACCATCATGGAAAGAGCTGTAAGAGAAAACTGGTTGGATGATTACTGAGTCCAGCTCGGCCGTAAAGACCCCCATCCAGGCAGTGCTGAAGGCATTGAGAAGCACACACCCAGATAGAACAGCAAAGTGGGACTATCCGGGGGCCAACAGCCTTCTGAGCTGAGAGCCTCAGGGGCTGACGGCATTCTGGGCTGAGGCGCCTCAAGCAGATTCTGACCCACGTAGTTACTCTCTCTGAACAGGTGATTGTTATTAACAAACAGGTGTTTGGTGTTTTCTCATAGAACCAAGATAAACCAGCTAAGCAGTTGGTGCCTGCTTACCACTGATCACAGACACACTAGAAAGTATTCTCCA